GCGTACTGCCTTGCAGTCTGTACCCACCTCTGGTGCAGGTTGTAACAACTTGCCAGATTAATATCGAATTCAAACTTCAAGCGGCAGCAGACTTGACGCTCATCATTTCTCTGGAGATAAGTTGCCGGTTTGCCAGTTGATTCAAGTCATGAGACTTTTGCACATGGAATGCAGTAAATAACTTCATCGTCCTTGAGAGGCCTGGGCCTGAGAGCAGCACCGAGCCATGAAAGCTGTTCCCCAATGTCTGCTATAAACTATGCGACTCCCGAGGCTTCTACAATAAGTTTAGATTGAACTAGGATTGCAGAGATAGTTAAACCTTCCATTGGGCTGCCTGATAAGTCACGATTATTCATCAGCCCTTCGTAATATCATATGCGGATCAAAGAGCTACTCACCTTTGACAGCTTGGCCAGTCTCTTGCTCCAAAACTCTTTGGAGAAGTTCGAGTATGGCCTTGCAGCTATGAGGCCACATTTGTGCCAGATAATCGCTGCAACTCATGGCTTGGATATCCGGACCTGTATGAGAGCCTGTCAAAGTGATTGCTTTTGGTAAACCGAGGTGATTTGGTTCCTCGTACTTTTGGTACGCAAAAAATTCAAGAGGATCCCAGTTAACCTCAAAGACAATTTGCTGGTTCTGTGATGATACCGATTTGCTAATATGGGTGCTAGTAGGAGACATTGCGTCAAGGATGAGTTGTCGTATTTTCCCCATCTCGTCAAGCTGAGGTCTCAAAACATGGAGCTCTCGTAGTGTGACAAGGGCATGTTTAATGGGCTTGGAATGGGCTTATATTCAAATCAATATAATAAACTGTAATGGCCTCAAGGTCCTTGTCCTTCCAACATTCTAACTGGGAAAACCAAGGCCCTATTTATACTCGTACGGGTCCCTCCTGGGCCCTCGTACTTCCGTGGCCATTCCTTCTCTCCGTCGGAGGTCTTCCTCGCCAGCCGACGATTACAAAGAGAACAGTCATCATGACTTCAGTGGATCTGCAGCCATCCTGCAGATCTGTCCCGCGTCGGCGACCTTTTTGACCAACCATCCTTCAGTATACTGGTCATCGGGCACCTCCTCTTGCATAGAATAACCCTCCTTTGGCCGCCCTACTATACTGGTCGGCTGTCGAGGGTCTTTGGCATGGTGGTTGCTGTGTCGGGTGGCCGAGTACACTGTGTTGGATGCTGTCAGCGGGAACCGTGTGACACGTAGCAAGTGATCAATCAGCCACTGAAATCCACTGTCTTTAAAAGGAAATTTGCGGTACTCTTCCGAGGTTGGAAGCCCCTGCTCCGGCTCAGACTCAGGCTCCTCGTCCAGCTCTGTAGGTTGAAAATCATGAGATTGTTGACCCAAGGCCTCTGTGACCTGGGCCTCGTGATGAGTTGAATCAAGATCATTGAGCCAGCCCATGATATCGGGCGGCGAAACTTCTTGATCCTTCCGGTCTTGTGCATCTGGTTCGACATCAGCCTCTTCATCCTCGTTCTGGGTATTGCCATAGGTATCCTTGAAGGATTCGGCAACTGCGCTTTAGACGAAGTGTCAGAGAACTCCCAATACACGAGACATGGAGCAGGAACTTACAATCGGTGCTTATAAAGGAAAACCATCACATCCCTGCGCATTTGTGTTGGTGCCTGAAAGCCGATCTTCGAAGCCAAGCCCTTGCTGAGACTTGGTAACTGAGTAGCCAAATTTTCAAGGTCTTCAGAATCGGAAATATCCTTTCCTAGTCTCCCGACAATATTGCTTGTCAGTGCCGATATGTAGCCCTCCGATGTTCTTGTTGAAAATACTGAAGAGTCGGAGTAAACGGTTTTAGCATCATCCTGGTTTCTCTCGATGTCGTTGCCCGCTGAGGCTTGACTAAAGCTCTCTTGGTTGGTTTTCGAAGCCTGGTTTGAAGATGTTTCTGAATCAGACTCAGAGTAATTCCTTTTAGTGTCATCCTGGTTGCTGTTCATCGCGTTGTGTTGTGGGGGCCGACCAAACTCTTCTTGATGAACTTTCGAAGCCTGGGTTGACGAGGTTTCCGAGTCAGACTCTGACGTTACTGGTGACAGGTCGGTGTGGTATATAAGGCCTGGAAGTGAAACGGTCCCCTCATATCCAGAGTCTGAAGGAACAGTGGAGAATTCAACATGGGATGCAGACTGTTCAACAGAACTAGTTCCCCCAAAGGCAGAATCCGACAAGATGATGTGGTGTTTGGGTCGAGGTTCATCGCTGCCGTCATATTTTCGCTCCAGCTTCAGCAACGCGGCCTCCACCCCGCCATCATCATCTGAATCATAGGGAATCAGAGCCAGTTTCTGTGCCTCGGCTTCGAATGATGGGCGCATGCGAGGCTGTGATGACTGTGTACTAAATAGGGACATTGTTTCAAGACGGTCAACAGAGCCGAAGACCGGCCTGTCGGTCTCCGCGCCCTCATTAAAGTCAGTATCCAGCGATCCTACGGTCTGCGGCGCCTGAGCTTCCCTCGCTGCTGTATCCTTGACGGCAGTCTCAAAGGTGACGTCCCACGGGTCCTGGATCGGGAAGGTCGCAAGAGTTTGAGCATCGAACTCGAACTTAGCACGGGGGTCTTCGCAACGAGAATGGATTTGGGTTATTGGGTTCTTGGCTATTTGGAGGTGTCCACATCAAATCAAGAGGGAAATCATTGTGCGTCCGCCAATGCTGCTGAAAGGACAAGCATATCGTCACGTCGTGGTTGTTGTCCGTGGGGAAAATGCCCCGGAGCTTGCAAGAGAATTTGAACACAATAATCGTAAAATATTCGCCCGCGTCCTGCGGTTCTTGCCCATGTACTATAGCCTCACAGAAGCAGGAGAAAGGTGAGCGCTTAAACGTATCATCATGATAATCCACTCCAGCGTTAAGAATGATGCCAAAAAAGACTCCATCGAACTTTTGTTCTGGGTAAAACCGGGGCAAGATTTGAGGCATCTCGTACGCTGCAGTGGCTGCTAGGGTGCTTGTAATTTCTCGATTTGCTGTTTTGTAGCTCAACTCGAGGTCGAGATTTCGAGGGAATGGTGGGAGGCTAGACAAAAGAGCTGAGCCGTGATGCAATGATCTGGTGCTTGCTTTCAGACAGAGTTTCAAGCGTCATTCAGTCAGGTTGGTTCTTTAGGGTTCGACGGGACCTCGCAGGTTTGCTTGGCGAGAATTCTTGATTGCTTGACACCTGAGAGGTTGTTACTAAAGGAGGATCTTGGACAAGAGATTCGACGGGGCGGTATTCGGCTGTCATGTCTTTTTAGTTTTCTTCTGGGAGGCCAACGAGAGGTCAAAATCGTCAAGGAAAAAGAATCATTAACTTCCTCAGCCCGATGGCAACCAAAAATAAAATAAAAAGGCTTCAGTACGAGCTGGTTTCCGTTCTGGGGTAAAATGAGCAAAAAAGCGGCGAGAAACTCACACTGACATGGATTGGCATGTCCACGATTTATTTCCATTGGTGAGCTCGACAAAACATAAACACAGAAAAATAAAAATTTAGAGAAGGATGACGGGCCAATGCTTCTCAAGGACCACAACTTCCTATATGCTGGCCACTTGCCGCTGCCCGGCAGATCGGGCCCGGTCCAAACAAACGCCGTGATCTTCGACATGAACAGCATCTCGGAAAAATTGCAAGTCAAAAATAGATGATTACACAGGCAAACGATGAATGTATAAATTGCACTACAAAGAACATAGGAACAATAGTAACATAGGAACAAAATTGTCAAACAAAAAAAAACATTTTTGTTGATTTACCTACTTACCATCATCACATACCACAAATCACTCACCACAAACCACTCAACTCAAACCCCTCTCAAATCCATCCCTCATAGCAACCCGCCCCATTCCCACCGGACGGACCAGCAGTCCAGGCAACATCCTCCTCACCCCCAAGACTCCCCGAGCAATCCCAAGTAAAATCCTCAACAGTCTTTGGCGAAATAGGCCGCGAATACTCAATATCATCCTGAGCCCTACCAGAGGGAACCTCAGTCCAAAGGTCGCGGTCACCTAATTGATACTGCCAAAAGTTGGGGACGTACATTGGATCAGCCCAGAAATCAAGAGAGTTTCTCGGACGCCAAGAAGGGACAGCTTGAGAGAGTTCATCTGCGAGGTTATGCTGCTGAGGCTCATCAGACTCAGACTCATCAGAAGAATAATCGGACGACGAGGAAGAAGAGCATGAATCATCAGCAGGAGGACCAGGAAACCCAGGCCAAGGCAATTCATTTGTTTCTCTCTCAGCGGAAGGAAGGCTGCACCACTGGCTGATTGCCTCGTCTAACTGCTGATTGAGATTACCAATGATTGCCTGGGTGGTTTCCAATTGCTGTTGAGTTTCACCGAGAATGTATTGCTGGTCGCTTTCTGACAAGATGTTAGTGGGTCGGTTGAGGGATTGCATGTTTTGGATGTGGGCTTCCTCGACCTCTTTTTGGTCTGAAATGTGGAGGTAGAGACCTCCGATGAGACGCTTGAGGCGGTCGGTACAAAACATCTTACCTGATTGTGGTGGTGTGAGGAATCTCGGTGCACTCGGAATGTTGAAGAATTCTTTTTTTGTGAGTAAGATTGCTTTCAACAACCTGGTCTACTTTTGATGGCCCCTTTGTGAAAAGGGTAGTCGCAGTGAGAGCAGGCGGTTCGCTGCTGAAGCCTTGAACTTTCCGAGTGTGTGAGATTCCGATGATGATGAACAGGAGGCAATGTCGTTGATGAGGTGATGTGAGGTGATGTGAGTTGCTTAAATATCTTTTCTAGAGTTGGTGATTGTGACCCGGAACAAAGAAGTTGATCATCACTCATCAATTGACAATAGCGTTGTTCACTGCTCACCATCAAATCTTTGAACAAAGAACATCACCACACACACACAATACTATTCAAATTTTCACAATCCCAACAAAGGAACTGTCCAAAAAATACAAAGAAAAACGACAACATCACAATTGTCCAGACACAAAAATCGATCGAGGTGGGACTCGAACCCACAACCTCAGTCTGTCCCATTCACACCATAAATCTCCATTTTTACGGAGATAAACTTTTGTGAAAATAGGAGGACCACGCGCTACCATTACGCCACCCGACCTGTGTGATAGGTCGATTTCTTTGGTGAAAAGTTTTGTCAAAAGACTGGTTCTTATACCCGAGGTCGGTCGGTCGGGTGGGTCGGCTCACGGTGGGGACTTGACATCTTCATCGTACGACATTCTGCAGCGGAGGTCCGATATGATCGGCAGTGAGATGTGATATATTTCGGTGAGCGTCTTGAATGGGCTTTGGGGTGGTTGAGAAAATAAGAGTGGAAATCGTGAACCATGAAAAGAAGCAAAAAGTGATACCTGAAAATTTGTGAGCACCGGAATTGACCACAGTGAAACATAGAAATTCAGAATGGGTTTATATGTATTAACAAGAACAGAAATACTGAAACCGCAAGCCGGATGACTTTGGGGTACTAGTGACGAGCAAAATTATGCTCCCGTCGTCGCCGTCCGCGGTGTTGATGCCATGGTATATACAGCATTTTTCTGCTCCGGCAATCCTTGGAGTTCTGTCTGATTCATAATCTGATTGGTTAATTGTCATATCCGAGAGAAGCCCAATCATCGGTGGCATCAAAGCTGGATTACTTGCGATGGGTGGATGGGAATAAGTGCGAAAACTGGTCTGTGTTCACTTGAGTGTTCTTCGAGAGCCCACAATCGAAGTGGCTCATCGGACTCCGTGCACACTATCATGATTACTGTGTAAGGAAGTTGGAACTAGATAAACAAAAAGAATTATGATTCGCTTTCAACCAGTACACCATGTTTGTAACATCTGATAAAGAGTTAGTTTGACCAATTGCTACAGTAATTGAGGTCCTCACAGTGACCAGAATCGGTCTGTCACAGAAAAGCATCCGAACGATACATCGAAATGATCGGGGGTCGCCAAATCGCCGATTCCAATTAAAAAGCATTCAATATCTAATGGATTAGATAGCTCATTGAGAGTTCAGTTTCTTTGGTGAAGAAAGTGAAGAAAAAGGTCATGACATGAACCGATGATGAATAGGCGACCAAAGCTTTGTTTGCAGCCACTACTTATGTTCCAGAATTCGCAAAATATAAGTGATTCATAGACAGAATTTCTTTAAGGACAAGGGAGAGCCCGAGGGTTTGAGAAAGGTCGTAGAAGTAGAGGCCATACCACTCGGCGAGCAAGCGATCGGTTAATTGTGCACAGCAGGAAGGGAAATGCGCAACGAAACGAGACCACGCAGCACTCAAACTTGACAGAAAGCTACCCGCTGCTCAAGGGTGCAGAGAGAGAGTCGCTCGCTTACTCGCTGCAAAGTCACAGCGACAGAGGAATCACAAAAGCAGGGAGCGAAGAATTACTGGCGCTGGTGGGAGCAAACCGAACGCAGTCAGCGAATCCTCCCAACCCAGGAATGACACAACCTAAGACCAATAGCAATCGCCCAGCGCGCCTCACATCAGCCGACAGCGACTATTAGATGTTTGCTGCATCCAACTGCATGTAAACTATTGAAGCAATGTCCGAGTGTGAACGCGTGCCAATCCTCCGAATCTCCGATAAATATCATTTCTACCTCCTCTTCCCGCTCTCCCGCTGTGTATTCTTGGGCCTTGCCTCTTTCTCCCTTACCTTGGTGTCACAAAAGACGGCTCACAGTTCGATTCGTCGGGAGTCAGGAAAGTAGACTCGAGCGACAAAGGTTCGAATTGAGGTAGGACGACGAAAGGTGGCCGAGGGGGCCACATGCCCTCGAAGGATTAAGTGTAGGTACTGCTGATCAATCTGCTCGGAGATACCATCGTAACCACAAAATCTCCGCGCCAATGCCGCCGTAACAGCTCTGAGTCTGTTGTGTCTGCAATCCCAATCTCCATGCCGGCGATAAAATTCCTGAATTGGTAAATAGAGTCAACAAGAACGCCGCGACAATGTCCTGTATCACAGACAACAGCCCCATGCCTTGAGAATACGCACAACATTCGTAGCCCAGAGCCAACAGCCGAATATTGCATACTTGCCAAGCCAAAGGCAGCTGACATCTTCTGAGTGGAAGGAGTCCGAGCGATGTGTGAGGCTCTTGTGGTGTAGGAAATCGCGCGCTTTGGTCCTGTTGGACAGGTAAATAAACCCAACAAGCGGTCAGTGTTTCCGTCAACGTATAAAGGTAGACCGGAAGTCTCCAAAGATGTATTGCCCCTGACTCTTGTGTATTCTTAATCCTGTGAAACAACTCCTCAAACTCTCGTTATGGCTTTCCTTGGCACTTCTCCCCGTGAGACGAACTGGGCGGAAATCAAAGACTTTGTCAAGTATCACCATGATACCTAGTATGGCTCCAGTGTTCACTCGGCCTAATTGGCGACTAACAAGGTATCAGTGACGAGATCTTGCCCAAGAACTTCAACCTGGCAGGCAAGTCGGTGTTTGTCTCAGGTGCCTCCATGGGAATAGGAAAAGCAACTGCTGTACGATATGCCGCGGCTGGATGCTCCAAGATTGCCATTGGCGCAAGATCGCCGCTCGAAGATGTCAAGAAGGCCGTGATGGCAGCAGCTGCTGAGGCAGGCCATCCCGAGCCAACTGTTGTGGTGTTGTCGCTCGATGTCACCTCCGAGGAATCCGTCAAGGCCGCTTCTCAAGTTGTTGCCGAAGCCTTTGGAGGTAGCTTGGACGTCTTGGTTGCCAACGCAGGATACAACACGCCATGGCGACCTATTGACGAAAGCGACCCGACAGAGTGGTGGAAGACGCTCGATACCAACCTCCTTGGTCTCCACCTGTGCTCTCGGTCCTTTATCCCGCTCCTCCTCAAGTCGGATACCAAGCTGCTCCTCGCTCTCTCCAGCATCGCAGCTCTGCGTGTAGATTGTGGCGCCGGTGCTTATGCCATCGCAAAGGTTGCAACCTGTCGATTCGTCGAGTTCGCGGATCAGGAGTATCACACCAAGGGGTTGATCGCCATTGCAATCCAGCCTGGTGCCGTCAAAACCGACCTGGCGTTGAAGTTGCCTGACTTTCTCCATCCGCTCCTCGTCGACACTCCTGAGCTTCCCGCGGACAACTTCTTGTGGCTCACGGCAGAGCGAAGGACTTGGCTTTCGGGGAGGTTTATCTGTTCGAATTGGGACGTGACGGAGCTCGAGGGGAGGAAGGAAGAGATTGTCGAGAAGAATCTTTTAAAGTTCAAGATGCACTTTTAGATAGGGTCAGTGCTAGTATAGGTAGCAAATAGCAATAAATGGAATGCCAATGGTGTTGATCAAGACACAAAGGAACTTGTTCTCTACGTACGGGACTTGGTGCAATGGATACGGTCTCTTTGAAATGTGTGCCTGTTTCCAAAGATGCTTCCATCAAGGAAAAGAACAAGAGTCTAGATAGGACGTGCATTGTTGAGAGGGCTTCAAGTAGAACAAAGGACAATATGTATTAAAAGCCTGGATGCCCTCCAGTCTCTCTGGGGAACCTCTCGTCTCCTCTAACATCTCCAAGGGGCCCCTTGACCTTCATGTGGGCTCCTGGGTGCCTACAGACTTTGCCATGCCACCTGGGGAGTCACCTGTTGGCGGTCTGGGTGCCCAAGAAGGTGATCGTTCCTTCTTCTTCCTTCCCCTTAGGGCAAAAATTCGGACGAAGTAAAAGTCCGACCAGCTGGAAGCCCACAACTCAGCCTGCTGGCATCTGTTTTTTTTTTTTCAAGGAACGTTCTTTCCTCTCTACCCAGTTTGCAGGTTTGCACGGACAGTCTGAGCAGTTTGGCCTGCCTACTTCTTGAGACCGACTTCCACCTCGTCCCAACTTTTCCTTCTTCCTTTCCTCTCAACGCAACCACATTTCCAGCACCACCACCTTTGGTCGAGTGCTTCTTTTCGTTACCGCTCGAGTTCACTTCTCTTCTATTCAATCATTTCGTTCACCATCACTTTGTCTTTTGTCCATCGCGACTTCATTTCTTCACTCTTGTAATTGTCGGTTGCTGTATTTGTACAAGCATCGAAATGGCTTCTCCATCGACCGAGAGCGACGTCAACGTCGCCCAGCAGGACGACACCAAGGTATATTGTCTTTTCAATTGTTTTCTGACGATTCCATCGTCGTTTTACTGATTTCATCTTTAGGCTATTGCCTCCCCGGCCCAGGTTGATGAGGCTTCTGATGGCACCATTCCTGCCGTCACCAACGACAATAAGGTACGTGTTATCATCAACAATCATCGCTTGACTTGTTCAATCATTAACATTTGATTCAGGTTTCCGATGTTGTCGAGGGAGCCAATACAACTGATGACGCCCTCGAGGTAAGCCATCTCCTCATCGATCCTTTCCTTTCTTTGTCATTCTCTAACATCATGTGCAGGCTTCAATTGTCAGTGTCGACCAGACCACCTCTCTTGACATCATCACCACCGAGGACGGTGTGACTCCTGTCGCTGCCGTCCTTGACGATGCCTCCACCGGTGATGACCAGGACACTGCTTCTCTTGGTCATGACACTCAGGTAAACCATCTTTCAATTGGTTCGCTTCCTCCTTTGTCATTGTCTAACATCATGTGCAGGCTCCCATTGATCAGGCCAGCGCTTTTGTCGCTACTGACGACTCCGTTCCTGTCGCTTCTGCAGACAATGCCGATGGTGACCATGATGCCGTTATTGCCGAGAGCGGTTCCAATTGTCTCCCGTCGTTCGCGGATGCATTCACCCAGGTAAGCCATCTTCGCATCAATTAGCTTCCTCTACTTTATCAATCTCTAACACCATGTGCAGACCATTGACGACGACCTTCACATCATCCGTGCGGAGGAAGTTGGGCCCGTTGGATGCGAGCAGGTGGGTCACCTTTTCATCAATTTCTTTCCTTGTTTGTCAATCTCTAACATTACGAGCAGTCTCAGTGCGAGTCAGAGGACTCTTCCCCAGCCGACACGTCCGGTTGCGTCATCAAGCCAGTCCTGACCAAATACTCGGTCACCGTGTTTCACGAGCGGGCTCGGACCTACATCCAGCTCTTCGAGGATGGCAAGACCAATTACATCCGCGTCAACTCGCAATTGGTCTCGGGAG